GGTACACAGCGAATCCGCTTCTTCATCCTTGGCAAAGACTGAAGCCAATTTCAGGACCACAAAGAGCTAGAAATTCACCTATTTTCAAAGACTTGTTTGTAGACTATGCAGCAACTTTGTTGTCTTTCCTATATTCAAAATCTGCAAACTCCCTGCCCCCTCGACCTCCTCTGAATCCACCACGAAATCCTCGAGGCATGGTGAAGGTACCACCTCTGCCACCGCCACGCCCTCTGCCACCACGGAAACCAAGACCTCCTCTGCCTCTGTACCCGCCACTGCCACGGTTTGGACGAAGTGGGATTCCAAATGTTTCAGCGTTTAATCTTCTCTCTTCAGCCCAGGTTGGTCTTCGTTCTCTATTATCATCACAAGAAATATTATCGAAGAAGGATTTGGTTTTGTCGTAGTAGCAATTAGGTCCGAGCGGATCCTCTTCATCGGCATTTCCTTCACTGTTTTGTGTGTCTACTCCCGAGTCTCCTTTATCTTCACCATTTACCGGCTTCTCTTGTTTCTCAAGTTTATCCTCTTTTAATTTAAGTTTATTATGAAACTCTCTGTTAATTTCCTCCTTGTTAAATTGTGCGTTTGCACTTTCAAAGTCAAAGTCTTTCTCAAATTTCATTGGACCATCTCGCCGAATACCAAATCTTCCCCTGCCACCTCGATGACCCCCACGCCCTCTTCTTGGAGCCGTAGGAGCACCTGGAGCAACTTGTCTCTTGCTATCATTTCTGAGTTGCTCGTTTTCTGGCCTTGAAACTTTGTGCACTTCGGCTCGCCTGTGCTCTTGATTCTCTACTGCTTTTTGGCCGGTAGATGGCAAAGGCCTGGTTGATACGGGGCTCCTTCTCCCAACAGGTGCTGGAGCAGGTAAGTGGGCTGAGGCGGTCTGCACTGCTTGTTCCATGGTTGGGCTTTTTCTCAAAGGGTCTAACTGAGAGCTTGAACGACCTTGAGATAATTGTGTCTTTAGAGATCTTGTATCCTGTGTAAAGACAGAACCAACTGCGCTACTTTGGGTTAAGGTACCACTGTTTGATGTTTCTGTTCCAAAGGATGTCAAGGAGCTTCCAGCAACACCAACAGCACCAAACTGCTGCCCGACTAATGAACTTGGACTGAACTGACTGTACGTGGGCATCCTGCCAAAAGGTCCATAAGAACCTACTGACTGGAATGAAGAAGCAGATGAACCTAATGAAGACTGAACGATAGCTGGATCTTGAGGCAAAGAACACTGCGGTTTCGGTGGCTCACAAACAGTGAGGTCTTTAATATCACTCTCTCGGAAAATAATGTATTCAAAGACTTCATCTCGAGGTGGTATTGGACGATCTGTTGGTCTGTCTTCTGTACCAAAGGATCGAACTTTGGCGAGGGCTACGGTGGTGTAGAGGATGCCCTCGTAGCGGATCTCCGCCTTGGAGATGAGGCTGATCTTGCTGCCCATGTAAGGGGTGCCCCCGCTCATGGCGCCGCCGCCGCTGTCGCTGCTCCGCACTCCCGCTCGCTCTGTCGGCGCCTACAGCAGCCGCCTGAGACCCAACATGGCGGCGGCGCCGGCTCCGCTACCCTCCCCCAGCCTCCCGCCCTCAAGCCGCGGCGCGGCGGCGGCGGCGGCGTCGGCGGCGCGGGGCATGCTGGGAGCTCATTGATTCATTTATTAAAATATAATAGTAAGTAGCTGAGAAGTTACTCCAGTTACATATTAGTAATTCTAGTAGTCTGCCATAATGCAACTGCTCTTTCTCTGTTTTTATTTTTGTCATTATGTGCTTCCTACACCACTATAAAATAGTTAATATTACTTTCTATCTTCTATTTACCCATTTTATTTTTTATTTAACCTAAATCTTATCTTACAAATAAAATTTTAAGTTCCTCTGCCTACTTACTTTATATATTAATGAAACAATAAATTAATAATGTGATCCACAGTATTTATGAACTACTGGATGAGCCTGAAGGTTTACAATCATTTTTTTAATGTGAAATATAATATTTCTAACAGCTTAAAATCTAATTTTGCTTCCATGTGTATCCCATAAATATGTACTAATATTCGCATCAATTAAGAAAAACTAATTGTGGAAGAAAGTTCAAATAACAACAACAGCAACAACTATGCAGTTTTATAAGGCTGATTATGAGTAATTTTAATTAAAGATGAATTAGGAGGATAAAGAAAAGTAGCAGAAGGAAGGCGAGGAGGAAGAGGAAGACAAAAAGAGAAGATAAAGGGGAAGAAAAAGGAGAAGACTGCTGACACATAAACATAGAGGAATAGAATTGGGCTGGACTTTCAGAGGAGCAAATTGTGGTTCTTAAGGTAATTTTTGAATAACAAATACAGACAATATGGAAAGAAAAAGAGGGAAAGGATATGCGGATCTGAAGTGCTCAGGATAAAAGAAGAAGAATAGCAAGAACTGGCCAAATGATAGAGCCAATATCTAAGGACGAATGATTAAAGATTATACCACAGGTAATACAATCAGTGTGCTAACAAGTATAATGCTTCAGTTAAAAGTGATCTTTACTTACCACTCTATCAACCATTAAGTTGATATTATTTAATTTTATTAGTTT